AGTGTCAATTATAAAAAACCCAAGGAAATCGGTCACTGAAGATGAAGAAAATGTTTTCGCGGTAATTGGTTCAGTTATCGAAAATCCAAATGTTAGTCAAAATCTAATATCCAAAAATACTAACATTAGTCAATCAAGTATTTTTAGAATTATCAAAAAGCACAACTTTTATTCTTATAAAATTCAGCTTTGCCAAGAACTTTATGGAAATGATTTTGAAAACCGAACCGAGTTTGCATGTGGGTGTTAGATAAATTGGCAGAAAATTAAAAGTTTTTCGAAAATGTGTTATTTAGTGATGAATGTACTTTTCATAACAATGGTCTCGTGAATAGACACAACTTTCATTATTATTCTGATACGAATCCGCGCGCATACAGGGTCATGAAAAATCAAAATAGGTGGTCAGTTAATGTGTGGGGTGGAATACTGGGCTAATATTTTATTGGACCCTATTTTTTTGAAGGACATCTAAATGGTTTGATGTTTCTCCAGTTTCTAATAAACCCTCTCTCAATATTACTAGAAGAAGCCTCTTTCAGTATTAGAATCAACATGTGGCTTCAATTGGATGGAGCTCCGCCTCATTATCACTGCGAAGTTCGCCAATTTTTAAATGCCAACTTTCAAAACAGGTGGATTGGCAGAAATAGGTTTCAAAATTGGTCCCCTAGATCTCCGGACTTAACTGCACTAGATTTCTTTTTGTGGGGTACATAAAAGGAATTGTCTACCATACGCTTCCGACAACTTCACACGGTTTGAAAACATGCATAAGAGACGCTTTAAAAACTGTAACTCCGAAAATGTTGTCCAGAGTTAGCAGTTGTTTTGAAAAAATAATTTACAAGTGCCTGGAAATGGACGGTCAGCATTTCGAACATTTGTTATAAATAATTTGCCTTTGTTTTATGTTATTGTTGATATGTTATTTAACCTTTTAATAAAAAAAATACACCAAATGGTGTACATAACCATTATTTGGTGTATTTTGTAAAAAGGTAAAAACTTAGTTATAAACGTCCTAGTACCATTCGATAGATAATTAAAAATTGCATTTCCTGGTAAGCTAAAAAATATGGGGTTGTATTTAAATTAATCAAGTTATAGCCACTTAAAGTTCTTATTTGATTAGTT